TCGAGCGCAGGACCTCTTTTCGCGCGCGCACGCGCGCAGGAGATCGAAATTCGAACGCGAGTCGCATAATGGAGCGATTTCGCCGGCGCGAAAGGTCGACTGGAACTTCTCCTTCCGCCGGATATTGCTCGGCGACCGATTGATCATCTTCGATGGCAGCGACAGCGGCGACGGGCGGCGCGGCGGGCGGCGCGGAGCGGGATTGAAAACGCGAGATCGTCCTCGACGCGACTCAAAGAGCGGCTCAAAGAGCGTTTGTAACATGCACTTTAAGGGCTGTTTGTACGAGCGAGGTAGCAAAGGGCACTTTTCAGTGCGCCGAGCAGACAGCGACGTTTGAGCGTTCGACGTTGCGCGCCGTAGCCGGCGAGTAACCTCTCCTTGCTCTCTTACTCTTTCTTTCTCGCTTTGTCCCTGCGCTTCTCTTATTTTCCGAACAATGAGCAAGCCCGCAGCCGGCGCCGTCTCGGATCGGACCGGAAAAATAAGCGCGAAACGTGCGCGACCGTTAAACGAGAGATCGTTTTTATGCACCGCGGTTTGCTCGCGCGGTATCTGCGTTAGCCGGGGCCTCATTACGCATTCGACGCTTCCGACTGCGTATTCGAGAATTTTTAATAATCGCATATTTTATTGCCATCAGAGCGCTATGGCCGATATGTAATCAACGCCGGATAATTATTCCGATCAGATCACTCGCGCTCGTCGCGCACCGCGCGTGATTGCGAGAAGCCGAACGAGCTTCTCGCGCGAGCGTCACACACCGCGGCGGGAACTCGTGTAAACCGTAGCCCGCGATTTTTATAGCGCTTAATTACAGAACGCAAGCACGCGTAGCCCAATTTTAATTTCGCCCCGACGAACGCCGCGCGTACGCCGGCGCGAGCTAAAGTGCGCGCTCGCGCGCTTGCACCGTCAGCAAACTGCGAGCCATCAGTTTGATTGCATTAATTCCGAAATGGCCACGTCCGCCACGTTCGAATGCTATTTGCCGGATAACGTATTTATGCGCGACGTGTCGCGTGTGATTTAGCCATAATCCAAATCGCAGCTCTTCCGCGAAATTCCCTCGCTAGAAATATGCCATTACCGCGCCCTTCTCCCTCCCCCCCTCCCCGCACGTTTCCAAACTCTCACGGAATTTTGCGTAGCGCGCACCCCGCGCGTACATTCTTACCGCCGCGATATTGAAAATATCTCGCGCCCTTTATCGTCTCGTATCAGTTTTACAAATCTCGATACACCTCTCTTTTTCTCTCCCTTTCCCCGTTCAGCGCGCGATATCGGAAGGTACCGCCGGCTATACTCCCGACATGATACAACTTCCCGATATGATATAATTTGAACGAACGCGCGAGAATGCGGACGATAACGTAATAATTAAACGAAACGAGACCCCGATCGATTTGGTATCTGCGACGTGACTGCGTCCCTTGCATTATGCCGGATAAAATGTTTCGCATTCATCGTCGGCGGCAATGTGTCACGAAATTAGCCGAGAGCCAACATTAATCTATGCGCGCCCTGCGCGAAAATCATTGTATCAAACATTAACAAGTCTGACGGCTCTTTTAACAGAGAGAGTGCTCTCGACGCGCGCGTTACACCGGCCGGGGGGAATGAATGACACGCCGAAATGAAAGTTCGCCGCGCCGTCATTCGCTCGCTCGCTCGCTCGCTCGCTCGCTCGCCTTTTATTCGCGCGTAACAGCGTAATCAATCTCGGATATTGCGCGTCTCTGTTTGACGCGCGTTTTTATGCCGGCGGAGCGATTGAAAGCGGTATTGCAATTATTGAGACACCGAGAGAGACATCATCGATGGTAATGGCCGTTTGTTTTACGTTTACGCGCTAATAAACGTAATCAGCGCGGTCGCGCGAAAGCACGAAAGCGTCGTCTCGGTCGAGAGTTCCGTTTCGAGCGAACAATCGTGGAGCACGAGCTGCGTAAAATTTTCATCAAGCCGCCAGCCGAAACGTAAAAGCGACACAAGGCCGGAAAAAACACGACGAGAGAATGAGGCTGCTGCTTCTCGACCTCGATTCGCGTCTACGATTCGCGTGCGCGCTCGGCTCACCTTACACGCGCAGATCCGATGCACGTCGCAGACGTCATGCGAGCTTCATCCCGGGGAAGCTCCCGGCGCGGAAGCCGGCTACGGAACACTGTAACCCCCCCTCCCCCCCGGCGGCGAAGTCATTACACAAGGGTTTGTCCTTTGAATCCGCCTTTAAGCCTACTCGAGCATAGCGAGTGTACGTAGACGGGAGCGCCGACTTTGGCTGATTAGTTTGCATGTTCCTGACGCCCGACTTTGACCTTCCAATTTTAGGCGGGGAACAGTAACCCGCTCTCGACTTAATCTCACCACGTTGCGACGATCCACGAGAGGAGCAGCGGGAGGAGGGGGGAATGCGAATCGCGCGAGTGGGAGCGAGCGAGCTTGCGGCAATGTTCCTTTAATTAGTCGCCGAGGAGGCGTGCGAAGAATCCCCCCTTCTGTGGAATTAGCGGCATTATCGCTCGTGAAATTTATCGCGCAGGATTAAAAAAAGAACCGCCATGGAGAAGCTCTCGTTCGGTGGACGTCGCCACAGTGTGAGAATCTGAGAAGAGTCTAATCAGATTTTGCGTGCGAACGTTAGATAATCTCCTTCCACTTAAATCTCGAATGACCCGATATATAATCGTCGCTGACTAACCAATGTTAACAATGGAATTTTAATGCATACCTTGCGACGCTTTAAGCGAGCAGAATATCTTTTTAGAATATTGCCCGGGATTAGCTTGACACGTTCCACGCCGTCATGATGGTCACCGGATCGCGGTAAGTGTTAAGTTATGTGGAATTACAAGATATTCGCGACAGATTATACATTTGTTAAGTTTATATTTTACATCTACGAGGTCTCATAGCTATGTCCGATAACGGTAGAAAGATGCAGGCGAAGCACAATTTCGTCGAAATTTTCAAAGCAATTTAATTTGGACAAATTTAATAATTTGGCGAATGTTCTAATTTCGTCAAAAATTTGTGCCTTTGAATGTTCCTATAATAATTAGAGGGAAAATTCTACGCCGTGCGTCGCGTCGTTATTTTATCGTTCGACCGGGTGCGTACCGTCGCGCGTATCGCGGTTGCGTCATTATCGCGATTACACTTCGTTTGCATGCGCGACTTTTACCCGGGAATACGGAGTATTCCTCTCTCTCTCTCTCTCTCTCTCTCTCTGTTTCTCTCTCTCCCCCCCTCTGTTTCTAAAAAAATCTCACGTAACTACTATCGATCGCGACGAGATACGGACGACTACATTGTTACACGGGAGAGAAGCAGTCTCATATCTGCACGAACCGGACGCGAAATACCGGGAGCTACGGGTGAACGCCACCACGAAGGACGCTTTTTCCGCTTCGATCCTTATTTTGTTATTTTATTTGCGCCGATGAAGCTTGTCGCGCGGTTTACCACCGGCCCTTTTTCCCTCCCTGTGCGCACGAGCCAGCCCTCCCCGCCAACGAGTCGACTCTCTTCCTCCCTCCCTCCTTCCTCCCCCTCTTCCCTCCCCCCCCCCTCTCTCTCTCTCCGTCTCTCTCTCTCTTGCTTTCTGTCTCGTAATAAACATCGACCGACGGAGTTCCCCGGGGAAATGTTGGCAAATCGCAGCCGCAGCGGGGGGTCGCGCATAGGTAACAATAGTTAGCAGCGGACAAAGGAGCCCGCTATCAATAGCGATCCCTTGTCCGTCCGACAATTAACCCCTTCGAATCGTCGGCTCCTCGCTTTCTTGAAAATCGGGCGTGTACGCGCCGACCCGAAAGAGAGAGTTTCTCACTCGGAGAGAGTCGCCGCGCCCGACAATGGACTTCTCGAACGATTAACAGTTGAGCGAACGCGCACATCGATCCTGTCCTCGATGTGTAAATCGCGCTTAACTGGACCCGAGCCGAAATTTTTATTCTATTTTTGGCCTTAATATGTAACGCTACTTAACGGTCTGAAGCTTACGTCACCCCGCTTTGACGCTACTTAACCCCACAGCTTTGCCGGCTCTGAAAAACCTGCGAGCGAATTGTCGCGTTTTCCGTCACACTTCAACGCATCCCGAGTAGGGCTTCAGTTTCTAAGTAAGTTAGGTCGCCATTGATTCTCCAGAATATTAGGCATCTACAAATGTCCTCTACAGTCTATCCCCCCCACAGAGCTCCACAGACCTCGATAAATAGGTATTCAAAGACCTCTGCGAATGTGAGGCAGTTCCGCTGCGAAAGTGAGGCCAAAATTTCCACTCGGGGAGCCCATTAACCGAGTTAATTATCAATCCTCGTAACGTCGGGATGTAATCCCGAACTCGGCGAACGGGCGCCCGCGCGGCGGGACGGGGCGGGTGCAGGGAGGATGAAGGAGAAGGCAGGTTCCTGTGAGTATAACTTGGAGTACACGCGGTCCCCGTGTCAGGAGGCGCATGATCTCGACGTACGTTTGCGATATATAATAGCTCGCGGTTCACGGTAGACAATGGATTTCGATATCAATGGCGGTGTATATAGACAACCCCTTACCTATTCGATAATTAACCCCTTGACGTAGGCGCCGCTTGAAGCCGAGCTCGCCGTATCTACGGGCTGCGCACGCGCGATTTATAACTGCATGTATCTCGGCTGTGTAGCGAGAGCTTCGCTGCGCTTCGCCCATCCAATCGCCGATCTAACTTTTCCGAGTCAAAATTTCATGCCGCTTTCGACCTCAATACGCCATCTCGCGCGAATTTAATACACCCACATCGACCTTTCTCGACTTTGTATTTAATGTACAACTTTGACTTCTCAAAAACCTAGCAAATGGCGAACTGCGCGTTTTCAAAGAGCAGGTCTCTATTTTAAATAAAATTTCCGTTACTTTTCCAATATTTGGAGAACAAGAACACGTGGTTAGTGAGTTCACGACAAAAATAGGGCAAACATTTTCGTTATTATTGCCGGGTTAAACGAGTCACTCACCTGTGCATCTGCAAGGATGCGCCGCATCAAGGCCAAGGTGGGGTGCGTTGTGAGGTCATCTTGAAGGGCAAGCGCCTCGCCTTCCTTGTTCAAGTGATTCAGGGTCTTGAGGGCTGCAACAGAAAAGAAGACGCGAATGCACTACAAGTTGTAACACGCCGCGATAGGTGTTATCTTCGTGTTTCTTATTACGCTTGATACGTATATCAACTGATTTCTCCTTTACAGCACACGGAGAGGGGGGGGGGAGGGGAAAGTTGAGCGTAACGATGAGCGAATAGAACGCATCTTGATCGAAGCGAGCAGAATGTTCTGGTCTCGTACGAGCGAGATTCCGTCTTCAGAAGCAGAAACTTCCTTCCTCCGGCTGAACGTGTTTGATTCGCTCGTCGATGTCGCGCTAATTCAACCGATCGCTCCTCTCCGTGTGAGTCGATAGAAAATCCGACACTGCGATAACAAGACGCGTGAGAGAAGCATTTGAGATAATGTCAGGACGGTCGAGAGAGATTCTCGGACTGCCCGCATCTCCTTCGTGATCCTCGATTGATATAACGTTCACGTTCGTTAGACCGATATTACCGTCTTGTCCTGCGAATCACTCGCGGGCGCGCGTTATTCCAGCGCTAAGTAACCGCTCGGTGAAAATCGCCGGAAGTGACTGCTCAATCGGCCGCGTACGCGCGCCATCGCACCGGATGCGTTAAGCTTTTCTCACCCGGGAGACATGCCGGGAGTCACCGGGATTTCCAACAAGCCCGGGTCACATCGACCAAGATGGCCGGTCTTGTCTCTCTCCCGGTCGGCTCGTCTCGTATTATCTTCACCAGCCCGGCCGTTCGAACGGCGGGATAATTGAATTCCCGTGGTAGTCGGTAGTCGCAGCGCGAAGGTGGGAAGGCCGCCCGAGGGTTGCCAAACTGTTATCGACAAGTTCGTGAGAGAAGCTCGTTTCGCACAGGCTGCCGAGCTACCTCGGAACGAACGCGCTTCCTCGACGCTCCGCCACGATATAGCGCGCCGAAGTTCTTTCTCTCTCTTCCTCGTACTTTCCTTCTCTCGTCGTCTCTCTCTCTCTCTCTCTCATCGTCTATGTACAAATTGTGATTATTCTTATCTTTCATTTGCTTCTTGATTATTCAAATAGACTCCTCTAGATTTTTATATAACATTGTGTTTCTTTCATCGATAGAATAAAGCATCCAACAGCGCGAATTTCACTGAATATCAAGGTGCAAGGGGATTTATTATTTTTTAATTATTTATTGCTTGTCCGTTCATTTTAATCCCCATACGCCCCTTAATATTTGATCAAACCCGAGCAAGATTGCCCCGAAAACTGGTCGACTGCTGGACGTTTCATCCTATTAGTTAGCAGCCTGTTAGTTAAAAAACCTTCAAACTCTCCTTTGTTTACCGTATTTTTGATTGTAAAAGTCCTTAGAAGGCACATACGATTAACAAACGTTTTTCTTTCTCCCGCCACCTAACCCCTCTCTCTCTCTCTCTGTCCCCAAACGTGTGTTTCTGCTGGTAGCGAAGACAAGCGAAGAAAGCGCAACTGAAATACCGCGCGTTGAAGATCCGTCTATATTTTTCAACCGTGAAATTAAACGTTCCAGTTCGCGGGTTGCGCGGCCGTTACATACGCCGGTAGAAATAATAGAGGAAAATTTTATTACGTCTCAAAGAGAAGGGCCCGCCGCTGCGGGCTCTCTCTCTCTTTCTACCTCGCAACGCCGAGCGAGGCCGCCGTTCTCAAAGGAAAACGGTAACTATTTTCCGACGAGCGATCAACTTTCCCCGACGAAGAACGCAGGTACACGGCGGTATATTACCTGCGTCGCGGAACTCTACGAGTACTTAAACGCGAATTTAGCCGGTTGCTTATACGCCCGTACATGCTCGAATACTTTGATGTGGCGCGGGCAAATTTCGACGCGGTTTCCGCATTACACGCGCGCAACGGACTCTCGAGATGCACGTCGTAACGAGTCTCGTTGGGGAAGAATGTCTCTCTTTGTCGGGGGAGAGAGAGAGAGAGAGAGAGAGAGAATCGAAGCGTCGAGGCTGCAACGACGAGAGCAACGACAACGTGATCTTGAAATTAGCGCGATTAACGGCGCGTCGAGAGGCGCGAACGAAAATCCGGCGCGTGTTCATCGGCAGATTTCGAAATCGCTCCGAGCCAATCTCGCGCGCTGCGCGAGAGCGCATAATTGCATCAGCGGCGCGTTTCGCGCGCCGGCGGCCTCCGAGGATTTAATGACGTTTACCGGTAATCCAGTTTTAATCGCGCGCGCGCGCGATTTTTCATACGGATGCGCGCAGCGCCCGCTCACGCCTTCATCTGCCCGGCGCGAAAACGAGTTTTCGCGTTCAATACGCGATTATCGCGTCGCGAGGACGAGCCCGATTAGGTCGGACATGGATTATTTGTTACACCGGGGATGCAATTAAACGCAATTAAAGCACCGGAGGCGCTCGCCGGGCCGCAGCCAGCTGTAAAGCACGATCCGGGGAGACATGTTTTATCGGTAAGTCGCGCTCGCCGAAGACAAAGGACCTCTCGCGATAAGGTACGAACTCCGGCGGATCGCCGGGAGGTCTTCCCGCTCGGATCTCCGAGCGTCTCGCGAAGCGCCCGCGAAAAGAACGAACGTATTATCGCGGGATCTCGTGGAAACGACTCGTCGTAAAATCGTTCTTCCTCGCCGGCGAGATCGAGAAACGAAACTTTGCGAGAGCACTGATAGATATATCCCCGACATGGACGAGAAGATGAGATAACGTCCTCTCGTCTTGTCAGCGAGTGTATCGCCGCGATATACTGCGACATTCGTTCTTTCCTCTAGGTATTTTTATTTCGGATATCATGTCTCAGATAACAGGAAAGAGAGAGAGAGAGAGAGAGAGAGAGAGAGAGAGAGAGGTAGGGGGGGGAGAGAGAGAGGGAGAATTGCACAACGAGAGCAGAGAGGTCGATAGATTTTCCCACGACTTCGGTTAGTACGACGGTCGAGGGCACTATGATATTGTTATCGTTAGTATTATTATTATTATCATTATTGTAGTGTAATTTATTCAGCGCTGTAAGATCCGTAGATCGCCTTCAGCGCGTACTACTTTAAACACAGTTTACAAAATGCAACAGAGCAAGTTAGACCCTTACTGCATGAATTATAAAATAAGCTCGGAGAGATATTTGAGATTCTAAGTAAAAAAAGAAAAGAGCGCGCTAAAATGTCGGATGTATTCTCTCGAAGAGAGACGACAAATAAAAAGATAATATAATATCGTTTCTCCGATTCATGTGACCCAATTACCAATTGCGTGCAACGGAAGCAATTAATGGCCAATGGAGAGCCAATTAAATGGCACAATGTATGCCTCGCGAATCGCATTTGGCCGCCGTAACTTTGTTTATTCAGACCTCGGCGGGGTTGCGAAATAATCAATGGGAATCGACGCGTCCGGCGATACGCGATAAAGCGATGAGTTGCGATTCCTGTCCGTCACCTTTAAGCCGATTGATCGCGGATAAGCGGGAAGAAAAAAAAAACACGCCCGAATGGGCAGATAAGCAAAGAGAGGAGCCCTTTCTTCACGGTGGTCTGGATCTCGATATCTCGCAACGGTTCTTCAAACACGGCAGGAAGCACCGTCGCGTCGGTGCAACGTCGAGCATCCCTCGGCCGAATAATCTCGAGCGATCGTTACTATCTCAAACGAAAGAAGAAACCTCGGGACGAGGCTTCGTGCCGGAGATTCCCGATTAAAGCGGCGCGCTTCCGCAACAACGGTTAACCATAAGCGTCCGTTTACAGGTCGCTCCGGCGAGAAGTAACTCGCCCGGCGATATCTAAAGTCCGAAGAGCGATCGTTGCGGCAAGGGAAACGCGTCTCGAATTCTTACGAGCGGGTCGGGAGGGAGGCGGGTCGTTTCTATCTCGGGGAAAGCTATCGCGCGAGAGCTTGAGAAGTGCGGCAACTGCGTCCTTACCTCGCGGTCGTTTTCGCGGAACGGAAGATCCAGTCGGACGGAAGGACCTCGGTCGTCGATGTTGCTCATCGATCGCTATTAACACGTCGAGTACCACGCCGCGAATTTCTACGAACCCAGCCACACCCGAATCCTCGGTGCGATTTACGATAATATTTTATAGCATCTCTACATTTTTATAAATAATATTCTCACGGGTTTAATGAGTATTGTACATTTCAAAGTCTGACAAGCGATATTCCTGTATTCGGTAAGAGCAACAAAAATATGTACACCCGCGGGTAATACATGGAAAAAACCTCTGTTCGCACCGAGCGGGATCAAGTGAGAATTCGGTGACGAAAATCGATATCCGCGCCATCGCGACTCGGGGGAACACTCGACCGCGTTAAAATGCGCTTGAGAATATTTTATTGTCTCCGATTTCGACGAAATTTGGCATATTTGTAGAGTATGCCAAAAATAAGAAATCTATATCCTTTATCAGCAATGGCTTAGGTTTAAGAGGTAAAGCTGCCCTTGCCTTATGCTATCTCGATAATTATTGCAAACAGAAAAAAGCTTTTCAAACGAAAATTGTACGGCATAAAAACCGTACAATTTTTGCTTAAAAAGTTCTCTTCTACCCGCAATAATTATCGAGATAGGATGAAACTTCTACACAGAGAGAACGATTTAGTTGAATCTAACAAATGCTTATTTGGAATAGTAGAAATAAATTTTTCGATTGATCGAACAAAATTTTGTTTGACGCAACAAAAACATTTCGTTGGAACTAAGCTGCAACAAAATATTTTTATTGCGTCAAACAAAACTTGGTTCGATCAATCAAAACATTTATTTGGACTATTCCAAATAAGTATTTGTTAAATTCAACTAAATCGTTCTCTCTGTGTAGGAGGGGCAGTTTCACCCCTTAAGCCTGGGCCAAAGTCGATAAAAAAATATGAGTCTTATTTTCGGCTACTCTATAATATGCTGCTAAAATATGCCGAGTTTCGTCGAAATCAGAGACACACACTTCGCGGATGTTCCTTGTGAGTGAGAATTCTCTACAAGCACCTAACCTACAAGCGAGCTTCCCAGACAGAATTTCCAGACAGAAAATCGGCTACCCGGGACAGAGTTTCCTTCTTAGCGTGGCACAAGCAGTCCTGATCAGACAAACACACCCAAACGCGTGACCCAACCGCTGCAGAAGTTCACCCCAGAAGATTCAGCCGACGCGGGTGACGTGGCGCACTCGACGTGTTGAGGCTCGCGAGGACCGTGGTTCTGGGTCGCACGCTGCGAGGACGCCGAGTCGTCACAGCCGGAGAAATGCGCGAATGTCCGAAAGCGCCGGTGCGTTCGCGCGGGGATGAATCAGCGCGTCGGCACGAGCCGCGCAGCAGGACGATAAATCTTGGGCGTGCGGCGCGCGGCCCATGGACGCGCGCAGGACGTGCTCTCGCAACGGTGGCCGGGCGCGTAGAATATTCCGCGCATTGCCGATACGCGAGGGAGTCGATAGCGTCGCGGAACGCCACGTCGTCGTCGTAGGGCGTCTCGGCCCTACGTGGCGCACGCTCGCGACCTCGCCACGCGGCCCTCGCCGGCGATACAGCGTGGTGAAGGGTGCATGCGCCGGAGCGCAACGGCGAAAAGCTCTCTCGTGCCCGTGGCTGGAAGGACCTTCCAGCTCGGGGAGCACGGAGAGGAGGAAGGGAGGTATGTAGATCCGCGCGGAAGGAGAGAGAGAGAGAGAAAGAGGAGCAGGCACGCCTCCGTCGTTCCCTCGACGCGGCGGGGGTCGCGCTGATATACGGCTCGACCTGATATTATGAGCTCTCCGTGTGTGTGTGTGTGTGTGTGTGTCAGAAGCGCGAGACTCTTTATGAGCTTTTACAGCGACTCAAAACTGCGCGGACTAACACGATGCGACCAGCCGGCCGATGCTAAACCGGAATCCCTTTATAGCGCACGGCGCAGATAATGTGATACTGCTGCGGGGTGGCTCGGTTTCGTTCGACGCGCTAAAGGGGCGGTTTACGACGCGAAATGTTGCTTTAATCTCTGCCGCGAACCGCAGCTCTCGCGATTATATCCGCTTTGAGCGAGAGCGCGCTACTAGCTGGGGCCGGCGGGTCTCGATATCGAGTGGAAACAGACGCGACGCGTCCGGACATGGCTGGGGAAGATCGCGACGCGCGTTGCATAAGGTGGAAGCCAATACACGTTCGTAACTCTCCCAGCATATCTCGCGGAATACCGAAGCACGCGTATGTAGCGGTCTTTCCGCAAACTTTTCGTGTATTTTTACGTGTCTCCAACTTTGCTCGCGAAGGCACAGCGATGGCTCTTTGACGTTTCCCTCATGCGGAACGAACATATTTCCGGTGCATGCAAGTTGCGCAACTTCTGCGTGTCAGGCAAATCTTTACGTCGGCTGAAATGTCAGCTTTGGGATTCCTTGTCGTTCCCACCACATACTGAGCGGCACTCTCCGATTCATTTTTTGCACATCTATTTCTATCGTGAAAACATGTTCGTAATTCTGTGCAATCGATACGGCATGCGAAAGAGAATCGATATTCAGTCGGCCGATTTTTCCTTTGATTGCGCTGAGCGCGATTTCACTTCGCGTCGCCGCCCAATGCGTCGAATCGCAACTACTTCCGGGAGCGAGCCGGGAGGCGCGTTGCGACGACCGACGGCTTTCTTTGCGTGGTCGATCGCTATCTGTCTCGTAAGCGGAACTTTCGAGACATCGAAGGAAACGAATGGCCGACTCGACGAGAAACGACAGCGACTGAACAGCCGGGGTGATGGAGGGAGGCGCCGCCCTCGCGCGCGAATCTGTCCGGGAAATTAACGAAGTTTGACACGCTTACGTAGCGACGCGATGTGAATTTCCTCGGCGAGAAACCACCCTTCGGAGGGCGCTGCTGGAACGCTTCAACGCTGGGCGCGTTAAAACCCGGGGATGCTCGAGGCGTTAACGCGCGAGCGACTAAAAATCTCGATGAAATACGCTGCGTTCGGTGATGCGGTGACCAAGACAGAGATTTATAATAAATAGGGACGGACGGAGAAGCAGAGAGAGAGAGAGAGAGAGAAAGAGAGGGAGAGAGAAAGGTAGAGAAATGGAGATAAAACCTAATGCGCATCTCCCAAACGTATCGCGGCGTTCCAGCAATCCCCGCGACACAAGCGGCAGAATTACATCGCGCTTAATACATCCGGTGTAGGAGATGCGCGGTGTAGGAGATGCGCGCACGGTTTGCCGGGTTCTGACTTCCGAGCACGCTGGAAACAGGATTAATGGATTAGCGATGTTTTGAGTTACAAGGGAAGTGTAAGCGGCCGAATATTCTCTCTCCAATTAGAGCAGAATTCTACGGCGGTAGCGGCGGGCTTTGAGTTACGGCAAAATCGGCGCACCTGCGGAGCCAGGAGAGAGAGAGAGAGAGAGAGAGAGAGAGAGAGAGAGAGAGAGAGAGAGAGAGAGAGAGAGAGAGAGAGAGAGAGAGAGAGAGAGAGAGAGCCAGTATCGTTGGGCAGGATCCTTTATAAATGCGGAATATTCGGTTCGGCGGCACAACGTACGCGCATTCGCAACGGGAGTTCATTCATTTTACATAAGCCGTGCGAATCTGTCGCCCGTATATTAACACACACACACACACACAGAGAGAAGGGGGGGGGGAGGAAGAGGAGGAAAAAAGTGCATAACGCGCATGAATATTATTAACGCTGCCGAGAGATAAATCGAGAGAGTTTTGAGCTCTCATGGCGTTTAAACGCGAAACGTTCAACGCTACTCGTTATCCTCCGAGTCGCTGCTGGAGCACGTCCTGTTAAGAGCGGCAGCAGCACGTGGCGCGTCATTAAATCGATATGATTACGAGTGAATTTCAACACAATCGATATAATATAATCGGTGTGATAAATCTAATCGACGTAGAATTACACGAGCATGTTATTAAGTTAACGCAAGTCTCGTGTGCTCCGCGCGCGCATTGATTTCCGAAGTTTCCGATGCGAACTCGCAGACGGATCGCTTCAGATCGCAGACGAAAACGAGGCTTGCGACGCGCCTCGGGCGCATACGAAATCTTGCGCGAGCGAGCCGGGTAAATAAACCTGCGCGGTGCAAACAGAGCCCCGTGCGAGGCTCGGTAGACGGTCAAGGGTCAGACGAAAGGTATCGAACTCACCTTCCTCGAAGGGCTGCGCTCGCTTGGCGAACGCCCTCGAGAAAACGCCCCGCGGCTTCGCGGCGTCCACGCCGTTCTCCACGGCCGCGCTCATTCTCGCGGCCGATTCTTCGGCGAGCGTGCACTTATCGTTGGGCGCAGCGGGCTCGTGTCTGTAATTGGTGTTACGCGAGAACGTCGATCAAGGGCTGCGATCGAGAAACTCCGAGGGAGGCTCCTCTCCCATGTCCCTTGACTTTCGGTCCCATCCTGCAAATCGATGCGCGAACACACACGCGCGTATGGACGTTGTCGCGTCGGCAAGATTATATTTATCGCCCTCCCGCAATTATCATCACATTCGTGATGATGATTCACCCCTCGCGGATCAACGCGCTACCGAATTCAATCATTTCACACGCCGAGACTCTCGTCGAGAGTGGAACAGCGGGGAGACTGTCCGTACGATTTTTCTGCCTTTTTCTCCTTAATTTAAGATTTGGTTCTCATTACTGACGAGCTGCCGTCCGCCGCCGCCGCCGCCGCTGCGGCGGCTAATGAGAATTCGCACTTGGAATCGAGGGGAAAACAAACAGAATCTGTGGAAAGAGACGAGAGACAGAGAGAGAGAGAGAGAGAGAAGAGAGACAATCCTTCTCGGAATCGTGCGGTTTGGAACATCGCTCCCTTCGCTATCCTTAGGGCTTGAGAGGATCCGCGAATTACAGGCACACGGTATGCTGTACATAAGCTCATTAGCCTTTCATGATTAGTATGTTAAGTGAGTGAGACCGCGAGTTTAATGCGCCGGCGCTCGAATGCATAATACACGCCGATTTTCACGCCGGTCGGCCGGGTATAACGGCGAGGTTGTGAGGGATACGTCAATGTTAATTAATGTAATTTATACACTTCTCTCTCTCTCTCTCTCTCTCTCTCTCTCTCTTTCTTTCTCTTTCTCGCGCTTTCTCGTCTGATACCGCGTAAAAGTCAGCCAGTCTATGCCCGGGCTGTCTCGGCGGTGAAACGGCTGAGCCGCCGCGGAACCTCGCAGTCGCAGTCCGCGGCCGCAGCTGCGCCACCCACACGCAGCACGTAGTGACGTTAATTAGTGCGCTGTGATTAGAGTTTCTCTCTAATTAAATGTAGATTGCCTGATTACCAGCCGGAGGAGCACGCGAATTCAAGACGCCGCCGCGACTCGACGATTCGCCTGTATCTCACTTACGCGATGTCTATAATATCATTCGATGAATATTTCCTCCGCGCGCGCGGGTGCCAACACCGTCGTCTACGCGCCGACTGCTAATTTCTTCTAATCAATCCGCGTAATTAAAATTGTGCATAAAAGTAAATATATATATATATATATATATATACTTATCGACCTTTGGAAATTTCAAAATTATTAAATTAACAAAAGTCAAGGCACTATTACAGTAATATATTCTTGATAGTAAATAAAGTGAAAAAGTCTAATACTATTTTTTCTTTGGACGAATAGTTTGACGAATAGTCTGACGAATAGCGAGATATAAGTTAAATGTAAGTTAAATGTTGAAAAAGTGACCAAGTTTTCCTTAAATATTTAAAAAAATATTAGGCAATTAAAAAATGTTTCAAATAAAAGTTGTTAAAATGAATTGGTAGAGAAAGAAGGTATAATAAAAAATTGGGCTTTCTATTTTAAAAAATTAAGTTGACCTTCAACTGACCTTGCAAATGCTCTCTAAATAAAAAACTGATAATGACCCTGACTTTTGTTAACTTACTGACTTTTAGAAATTTCAAAATCATCAAATTAACAAAAATCAGAGCGCTATTGTAACAGTATATTCTTGAGACTAAATAAAGCAAGAAACTCTAGTACCACTTCTTCTTCCGACAAATAGTTAGCGAGATATCGGAAGTTGAATATTGAAAAAGTTATCAAGTTTTCCCCAAATATCTCAAAAAATATTAGACAAATAAAAAAATGTTTTAGACAAAAGGTGTTCAAATTAACTAGTAGAAAAAAAACAGTGTAATAAAAAATAAGGGTTCCCATTTAAAAAACACAAGTTGACCTTCAAATGACCTTGAAAATAGAGGTCAGGGTCAAAGTCGAGATCATCGTAAGGTAGCTCACTTAAATTCCTACAACTTTTATTTAGATCATTTTCCTTGAAACTTCAATACCAAAGAGTTATTATATTAATATATATATATATATATATATATATATTAATATACAGGGTGTCCTAAAAGTAACGGACCACCCTAATAACTCTTCGGTATTGAACTTGATCAAGAAACTTGATCAAGAATATATTACAAGAATATATATATATATATATCAAAAATGAAAAAAAAGAAGAAAATTTATAAGAACTCGTAAAGGCGCGTGTCAGTATCTCAGGATTAAGAGCAACGTGTGCAAAGTAGCACGTCGCAGAAATTGATCGACACCTACTCTCGTCAGGGTGGGCGAGAACGCGTCATCGTGAAAATAGCGTGCTCATCTCCGCGCTTTCGCTCGGGCGTACGCGCGTACGCCATCGGCCGTCGCCTCGGGGATGACGCTGTTACGCGGAAAGTCCGTATTGGCGGCTGGCGAGCAAACGACGAGCATATAATAACGGCTCACGTTGGCTCGTCGATAGTCCCCCCCCCCCCCGAAAACGACGGCTCAACCTCATGTTACACGTCAGCCTGCGCACACGCGCGCTATGCACCCCCTCGCTCGCTGTCGTCATCGTCGTGCGAGCGAGCGAGAGAGAGAGAGAGCCGCCGTCATTTGATCGTCATAATTTATCATTACGCGCGGGGAGAGACGCGCTCTCTCGATAAATCCACGCCGTGTTCAACAACGTTACCCATTGATTTATGCACTGTGACGTCCGCACGTAAAGAGAGATCTATCGCGGCGCACCCTTCTTCGCCGCGTCACGGCGCGGTGAGAAATCATAGGCGCGAATCGCCCGGGGACCGCCGATGGCGAAGTGGAAAAAGCGCCGACTTTTACCGCACGTACGTTCCGTGTGCGCGCGCGAGCCTTCCGGTACTGAAATATCCGGCGCGATACGATCGTCAGTCACGAAATAACGCACGGTGACAAACTGCCCGCCCCGTGGACATCTGCTCGTATCGGCTCGAAACATGGCGGAGCAGTTGCCGGTTTATCCGCCAGATTTGTCATAAATATTGATATCAGTTGTGTTCTCGGTAATGCAAACATTGGTAGAAGCTATATAAGTGCTGTGCAAAAGACAACGCACAGGGAAATCTAATATTTCGTCCGTCAAATTTATCGCAGCTATCGATACAAATTATGAATGGTGTATTATTACAAATGTATGTGTAACACACACGGCGACCTCTCGCCACGCACGCATGCGTAATCCGCTCTCGCCGATTGGAACATAAAATCCTGACGTTTCACACTCGCCGAAATTCTCATAAATATATTTACGGATATATATAAATCATATTATAAGTATCATATAAAAGATAACACACACACACACAAAGGCCAGCGCCCGCGAGCGCGCGTCCGCTCGGTTTCGAAGCGCGAAACGCTGATTTTCCGCCCGAAGAATCTCTCGCGGAGATATCGACATGAATTATAACAGAAATGCACTACCGTATGCGCACAGTCCCGAACACATTAAACACAATTGATGATATTGAATATAGTTATTAATACATAACGATGGCTATCTGTTAATTCGGGCTGAAATTCAGCGAGGCGGCCTTCTTCGGCAGAGCTAAGCGCGGCCCGTTGTCCGCGCGTGGGCCGTGTTAAACGGTTTAATGATTTTATGACTTCGTTACGGAATAAGCGATTTAGAATACTTTTGCATAGCAATGCTCCAATCTGAATAAATTCGCGTGCGCTGCGAGCGAACGAACAAGCGATTAAACGTCCGCCATTTCAATTTCTGCACGCGCTCTTTCTCTCTCCCTCCCTCCCTCTTCGCTCTCTCGGTCGAAAACGTTTTCACGTTCAGCAACGACGAACGGCTGCGGTGGCACGTTAACGAAGTGGTTAAACAATTCCGTTTGTTTCATTGCTCCGTATTCACACCTCTATTTAGCGGCGCATTCAGCGACGAATATCGCGGCTTCGGCCGCTGCGGATTTTCCGCGTTCACGCGCGACTCGGAGTATTCGCGTTGCGACAAAAGTAACAAAACGGAAGGCGCGACTTGTGCGGACAAACACACAAACGGCCGTAACACCGGCGAGATGATCCGCCGAGCGATTCCTCGTTGTTTGTTCAACTAATCGAAGCGGGGACGCCCTCGTCGTTTTTCATTATCAATCCAATCAACGGTTCAGCGGATTAAGAAAGCGCGCGGGGGCGCTCTCGCTCGCTCTCCGCGCAGAGTTAAATCGGGTATTTTATTATTACGGTATATTTATGTCTCGACGACAAAGCGGAGCGAAGGGATTGCATTACGTGGGCGTTTAGAGTCGATAAATTCTTGCGGGGTCGCGAGTTGCCTTCTGATTTATGTGCCGTGACAGCAGAACTCATAAGGGAGATCTATAGGCGTTTTTCCATTCTTTCTTGCCGCGTCTCGTCGCTACGCGCGGAAATCTTCGCCGGCGATTTCCAACTCGGCCGTGATTTAAGACGGTAACATCCGGGGAGCACTTTGTCCCAGCCAGACGAGAGATGTACCATCGGCCGTCGCGCGCTTCATCGGCTCGTCGCCTTAATCGCTATCGGGAACTTTAGAAATATTAACTATTCGCGCTCCTTTAAGCCGAGGCTCCCTCAAGTCGTCTCTGATTCGAGTCTTCATCGGTAATCAATGAATATTCACCGTTTCTCAATGGGAGCACTCTCTCTCTCGCTCTCTCTCTCTCTCTCTCTCTCTCTCTCTCTCTCTCTCTCTCTCTCTCTCTCTCTCGCTCGCTCACTTTACTCTTCCGCCCGGCAACTCGCCGATTATAATAAAGTATGATTCTTGATTACACGAGAAATGTAAATTCTGATTTTATTACGCTGCGCGGGGAGAAAGGTTTGGTCGAATGGACGCGACACAATGACGAGAAAACGAACTAAGCGCTCGCTATTCGGCGGAGACGGACTTTTTGAATACATCGCTCGCTACCGACTCTTTGACCGGCGGAAATAAGGTTTCCCCCTGCGCAAAATCTGCAGTGCACAAATTCGTTATACACT